AAAAACAGAAAGATTACTGTGCCACCACACCACACTCACACTGGCTGTACGAAACACTCCAGCAGCCTCAACCTGCCGACTCAAGAACCTCAACCCAACTTCCACTCACACGCCCCAAAAACCCTGCCCATTCTCTTCCCTGATGTCCTATCAAACTTAAAATAATCATTTCCCATTCCCATCCTCCAACATTTTCTCTCAAGCACCATTGCTTTTATTCAACTTTATCTCCTCATGCTTCGATTCTTCTTTACCTCACTGGGCTGGTTCTCTTCCCTTCGAGCTACTGTCACATGGTTTAAATTTTCTCCTATCGCCTTCCAAAACACGGCTTGGGACAGGTGAAACAACAATTTGTGTTAGCAAAACGCATAAACGAAGAAGGAGAAAATTACTCAGATAAAGGGGAAGAAGGGAGGCAGTAAGGAGAAGCGCTCAATCTGAGGAGGAAAAGAGGTCTTTAACTCTCGTCTTAACTCTAATCGGTTCTTACTCTCGCTCGGTCCTACTCCCTGAAAGATGCTAAATACTTCTTCATTACTTTGCTGTACAGTGGCTGCAGGAGGAAAAACCAAAAAATCTGCAACATGTGGAGCTTTTGTACAGTTGCAGTTATTAATCTTTAAGCTACTGGAGACACAGTAAGTGTATAACCTAGGTGTTATTAATGTGGGATAAAACAAGGTTTAATACATCCACATTGATTGAGGACCCATTTGTCCAAGTAGGACAAATAGTTGGGTTAAAAAATATTTATTAGAGACTATATAAACCATAATCTTATAACATTTTGCATATAAACAGTGTATAAAACTCTAGCTCTTAATATATTGAGTTGAGTTGTATTCCTTAACATCATCCCAATTGTTTCCACAAGTACATGTTCAAACTCAGAAAATCTGGTCTGTTTATTATAGGTAATGCTGTGTTTTCACCCAGTTTAGCCTTCAATGGCGTCATATCCCCTTTTAGCCTGCATCAACAGCGTTGTGGGTTGTCTGCAGAAGCGTGTTTTTATATCGTATTCAAGAGATGGCAATAATCTGGTTAGCGTTGGACAGCAACAAAACCTACAGCCACATGAAAGCAGTCTTTCTCTCTCCGGAACCAAGAACCGGACCGTAGATGAAACCGAGGTATTAATAACAGGGCCTCACACAACCACATTACAAGACGAATCCTAGTATCTGGACCAACCGCTCTGAATTCTTCTGAGAAAACTTACACCAATATATTAAAAATTGTCACCGACACATACCGACTCTCATTCCCCACCAGTTCTTCTGCAACAAAATCATTAAAAAACACTGTATCTGTTAATGGAATGATATTGAATTAGATTTCACCTGTATCTTGTAATGGAAATAGATAAATTGGATCAGTATACACTGTATCTGTATAAGGGATGATTAATTATCACAGTATACACCTGTATACTTATTATGGGAATGATATGATCAGTATATGTACAACTGTATCTTTAATGGGATAGATATTGAATCAATACAACTGTATCATTTATATAAGATTATTGATCAGTATTTTCAACTGTATCTTTATGGATTTATTTGATGCAGAATCACTGATATCTGTATGGATGATAAATTGATCCTGTATTGACAGTCAACTTCGAGCAGTGGCGCGTAGAACCCAACGTGGCCGGACAGAGTGATGGGACGGCCTTTAAGCTATACGTGTTCTGACCGAGTTAAACGTTGTTTGTTAAGACAGGAGCGTTAGGAATGTCGTGGTGAAGAGAGAAATTGTTTTGAAATATATGGTTCTTGTTAAAGGGTTTGGGTGCAGGAGCTTTATAGTTGGATTTCAAACTCTAGATATCTGGTCAATTCTTAACGTTTAAGATCTCCACTACCAAGAAGACACCTAGCTAGTGAAACAGCGGGCTGGAGTAGTTTCTGATGGTTATTAGATTAATGCTTTAATAATGGACCAGTATTGATTATTTGATGCTGACTGATCAAGGGTTTTCATTAATCAAGCAGACTGTACTTTTCCTATACAGCAATTATGCTTACTCACATGACCCGCCACTATTGTGGTGTTTTTAAACCGACTCTTGATGAAATGTAGACACACACAGACTCGGGGAATTACTGACAAAGACCTCCAGAAGTGTAGGGTGAAAAGACAGTTCAGTTGTATAGGGGTTTTAAAAGCAACTTGTAGTGGGATCATGCATTACTGGTGTGGTTATCTGGGAAGCTCGAGTTGATCGCC